TCTCTTGCCTTCCAGGTCAAATTCAACTTCTTGAAACTTTAAGGAAAGGGTCATTGCTTCTTTATATTACCTTACATCCCTCACCTCCTATTTCATACTCCCCATAGTTAAAGAAACACTCGAAAGGGGCCGGCCCGTGGCTCACTCGGGAGAGTGCAGTGCTGATAACACCAAGGCCACGGGTTCGGATCCCATATAGGGATGGCCGGTTAGCTCATCGGGTGAGCATGGTGCTGACAACACCAAGTCAAGGGTTAAGATCCCCTTACCGGTCATCTTTAAAAAAAAAAAAGAAAGAAAGAAAGAAAGAAACACTCAAAAGAAAGTGATCCACATCTTGAAAATTCTGTTCCGAATGCACCAAACATGACTGCAAGTCACTTTCCCTATTATCGGATTTACGACAAACTCACAGAAATGGGATTTACACTAGAATTTCCTCCACATTTGGTAGCTGACAACATCTGGCCTTACTTCTGATTCAACATCTACCCTGAAGTTCAATCTCATCCCCAAAATAACAGGTTTTATTTACACAGGCTTTCCTTAACAGCATAAGGTCTTCTGAGGCGTCTAACAGTGTCTGCCCCAGTAGAAACATCACAAAAAAACATTCCTGAGAACCAATGGCAAAGCCAGGTCATAACCTCCACGTGTTTAGAACAAGTGATCTGGATATGTTATTAACATTTTAACTCCACTGTAGTTGTCCCAGAAAAACCTTTGAAAAGGGTGATTTAGAAGAAATGCTTGTTATTTACAATGGCCAAGGTATGGAAACCTAAGTGTCTGTCGGCAGATAAATGGATAAAGAAAATGTGGTGTATACATATACAATAGAATATTATTCAGCCTTTAAAAAGGAGATCCTGCTGTTTGCTACAACTTGGATGGACCTGGAGGGCTTTACGCTAAGTAAAATAAGCCAGACACAGAAAGAATAATGCATGATCTCACTTATATGTGGAATCTTTAAAAAAAAAAAAAGTTAAAATATACAGATAGAGAATAAAACAGTCGTTGTGGGGGGAGGAAGGGGAGGGGACACGGGGAGACGTAGGTCATCCTACAAAGCAGATATGTAGGGTAAGTCTAGAGAGCTAATGTACAACATGAGGATATAGTTAATAAAACTGTACTGGAGATTTTTGTTAAATAAGTAGATTTTAGCTGCTCTTGTCACAAAAAAAGTAAGCATGTGAGATGACAGATATGTTTACTTGCTTCACTTGATTACTAATCATTTTACTATCTATATGTATCCCATAACATTATGCTGTAAACCTTAAACACACAATAAAATTTTAGAAAAAAACTATAGCAATGAACAGCTATTGAAGAGTTGTAAAAAAGTCAAATAATGTTATTTTAAAAAAAAGAAATGCTTGAACCAAGATTCTACAGAGCATCAGGTTTTATCCGTAATTATTTGGAGAATTTGCTTTACTTTTAAACAAGGAGTCTCAGACTGGCAAAAAAAATATCTGCAAGAGAAAAACAGGCCTCAAAACATGGTGGGAGTAAAGCAAGAGGAGGAATCTTTAGCTGTAACACCCTTGCCTTTAAACCACCACTGTCATGACAGAAGCCACTTGTTTCAAGCAGCAGTGGCCAGGAGCTAATGAATGGTTTTAAGGGGAGGGACACCACTGAGTGTTACAGGGAAATCACTTGCAAGAGACCAAGCCAGCAGTTGGAAAAAAGCAGCCAACTGATGGGCACACGATTGGTCAATACTTGGCCTGGAAATGAACCGTGTATTAACTTCCGAGTGTACCTGCCCCATGGTCATGTTCATTCTACTGCTCCCTTCTCCCATTTGCAGCTATAAGGAGGACAGCATGGATAACACTGGGGACCCACTAAAGGGGCACTTTGGCACCCCTAAAGAGGACTCCAAAGACACATGGCCCTCCTTTATCCAAACCTCTTTTGGGCATATTATACACAGGTTGCAAAAGGCCTTGTCAAGGGCAATTAAAGAGAATCTCCTGTACAGGCAGAGCAAGAAGCTGGGGCTCAAGGCTCCAGGAAGCCAATCAAAGAGCCACTGGAAGGAGCATCCGTCTAAAGACTGGAGGCACAGACGAAAGCAAGGGTAGGAGGCTGGTTCCATCTCCTGACCTGATGCAATGGCTGCTTTTCACACACAGAACATTTGCTCTCTCAGCAGTCTCTAGTCTGAGTAGTGGGCCCTGGGCAAAGTTTCCTCCCTCAGCCTCACTTTGAGCTTTTTGTGAGGAGGTGCCACCAGTAACTAGATTCCCTTCTGGAGGTCCCTTCCCTCCTCTCCCAAAACTGAGAGCTAGTAAGAGTGAGATGGTAGGAGAGCAAGTCAATAGACGAGACCATGGTTTTTTTGGAGTTTTGGGCTTTTTATGATTCTAGTAACCTGCAGGTTAAGGACTACATGCTATTAATGGACAAGTGAACGTTTTTAGCAGAAAACACTGTCCAAATCTGAAAAGGAGACTGGGACTAGCAGCCCCAACTTGAGATGAAACAAATCTTTTACAGAGGCATTAGCTTTGGGACTTGGTAAGCTTGTCTTCGGCCCACTAATGCCATAGGACAGGGGGGAGGAGAGAGGGTGTAAAGTAGAACCTGGTGATGCCTTTTGCTCAGAGGCAATCACATAGTTCTTACAGGTAGTTTCCAGCCAACTGTGCTGTCACTACTGCCACCTGCTATGCGCCGTAGTCAAGAACTGCTTGGGTCTCTCCCACGAGAAAAGAGGACGGTCTTAGAGGTGCTTATGGCACTTTGCTGAGCATCACAGGGAATTAATTACTGGCCTTCCCCTCAGGCATAGGGATCAAAGTTGGGGACTGACAGCCTTTCCTGAACGACCTCAAAACATCATCCTAGGAAAGGGATTACTCACAGAGGCCCATGGTAGATGTCTTATGTCAAAATATTCTGAAATGACGAACCCTGATCAACTGATCCAATACTCCAGGAAACAGTGTAATCAGCAAGCGTAGGTATCCGTGCTCCAAGTCAGCTTCTCCCAGAGCAAAGATTTGAGATAAAAGAGAGCTAGAGGGTCAGAGTCACACATTTCATAGCTTACTTCAGTCCCTCTTGAATCATTTTTTGTCAAAAGGTTAATTGTAAAATAGATATCCCAATATTCAACAAAAGCAAAAAGAAACTAAACAAAAGCAGACCCAGGCTTCAAAAATAGGGGAGCACTTCACCAAACTCCAGAAACATGTAGCTTCCCAAAGTAAAAGAGCACCCTTATTTGATGATGCACAAAGACGCTCACTTAAAATTCTGGAATGTATTATAACCCATTCTTTAATTTTGCACTTTTATCTTCTCAAAATAGTTTTTATTAAGAAGGTTTGAAATTAAATACCAAACATATGTCAACTACTGATGAATGGAGGGAAAATATCACATTTGGCTAAATTGGTTCAAAATGAATAAATCATAGAAACTACTCTCCCTCCTATAAGAACACACTAAATTTGGATCCCCAGGAATAAAAACCAGAGATCCAACAGGCATTATACATCCTAAAATTCAAGTACACTGCACAAAATTATACTATATCTAGTTCTCAGTAAACCCCAGATATCTTAAAATCTTACAATTAAATACAACTGCTGCCAAATGTCATCTCTTGGCTTAACAATTCAGCTAGAATAGTTTGGAAACAAAGAAGTAAGAGCTATCATTAGACAGCAAGACATCTAAACTAAACCTTCAGCAGAGAGATCAGTAAAGACATGATACAGACCCAAAATCTCACTCACACTCACTCTCACACACTCACACACACACACACACACACACACACACACACACACACACACACACACACACACACACACTTTATTAGTTTCCTCTACCAGAGGCAATAACATCAATCTTTTTAACAGAAATCTCAGGTCATTTGAGAGGCCAAACAGATCCAAGGAAGGAAGAGGAAAATTAAATACTTAAATTAATCGAAAGGCACTACAACACTACCTAAAACCTACTACCATGGTAGTAGTAGGCTAAGGAAGGGAAAGCTACATCAAATTATCTAATGTGAATGTTAGCAATTACATAGAAAGATAAGAGTTTGCTCTCCAAACTATGATACAATGACCATTTGGGCCTAAGAGAATGTTTGGCCAGGAAAAGGTCAAGATGGCTGAAGGAAAAGCCAAATTGAAAAGAACAGGTATAAAGGAGAATCCAAGGTACACCGTCAAGCAGATGGCAATGGCTCATGCTTCTTCTTCCCAAGAAACTGTTGCTGCACTGTGCTGCTCCGTTCCCCCCACCCCATCCCACGACCCCACCCAACAGCTGCTCAAGCTGAGCTGCCTGCTCCTGTGTTACAGGGTGCCCAGCTACCAGGAGTAGAGTTGGGGTTGCCAGGGCTCTTGCTGTAATTTAACAGAGACCTTAGATAACTTGTCGCACATGGGTGGCCTTTGTTGCTAGTTGTTCTGGGGCCGGCCCGGTGGCGCACTGGATAGTGTGCCGCTTGGGAAGCACGGCGGCGCTCCCGTCCGAGGGTTCGGATCCCACATACAGACCGGTTCCCGCTCACTGGCTGAGCGAGGCGCGGGAGCAACGCCGAGGGTTGTGATCCCGCTGCCGGTCCCCGGTCCGGTGCGGGGGCAACTCTGAGGGTTGCGATCCGTTGCCGGACACGGAAAAAGACAAAAAGCTAGTTGTTCTGAACAAAGAAAACCCTGAAGTATTTACATGCTAAGTAGTCTGAGCTTCCCCAATCACATTCAAATCACACCCCTACATAACACCCTCAAAAGTTTGAAATCTTACAGTAGGTGAGCTGTAGTTTAAGCTACAAGGCTCCCAAAATCATGAAGGAAGCCAGAATGAGACTGTGCAGGTAGAAAATCCCAGCAGTTAATCTCAATCTGTCTTTCCCCAAATTAGGATAAACACTAATATATCTGATGTGGCACGTAGAAAGCTACACTGGAGCAAGCTGGGTCTTCTGCTGAACTTGCCATCAAATACTAAGGGAAAACAGGGAATGGGGTTGGTTTTATTTTTTTAAAGCTGCAGAAGTTATTCTATTATAAAGGGACATGGCTGAACAAGTAGGAAACAGATTCCCCATTGTGAGTTCTCCTGATGGCTTCTGCAAGGATCATGGAGATGTCGATCACCTAGAAAAACAAAAAAGGCATCAGGTTAATGTCATATGGACAGAGATGACTGGCCAATTTGCCCTTCCCCTTAAAACTGCTGCACTGCACTGTTTCTCCTCATTAGTCTTCACTCAGCTACTCTTCCTAACAATTTTTAATATAACCACTTAGGAAAGACCCAAAATGCTAATAGAAGAAAAACGTTGACTCAGGACCATCAAAATCGTGGTAGATTGGCATTTAAAAATCCTTAAGAATGAAAAAAGAAAAAAAGGGCCGGCCCGTGGCTCACTCGGTAGAGTGCGGTGCTGGTAACACCAAGGCCCCGGGTTCGGATCCCACATAGGGATGGCCGGTTCGCTCACTGGGTGAGCGTGGTGCTGACAACACCAAGTCAAGGGTTAAGATCCCCTTACCGGTTATCTTTAAAAA